TCATCATCCAGCTTTTGTGACGGCAACTGGATGAAAAAGTCACAAACGAACAGATTTGCAGATGGATGGATGAAACAACACATGAATGAACGAGTGCTGCTCACCAACCGCTGTTAGCACAAACTCTTACAAAAATGTTTTTGATGTGTCCAGCACCTCTGCACCCCACTCTGCATTTTCTTCATGATTACGCTTGCAAAAAACGACGATTAGAAACAAGGAACAAAACGCAAACCAAAAGCAAAAAATGAAAACTGGTGGTGCAGTTACGTTCTGGCGCACCACTAAGGTAACTGGTACATCATTTAAGGTGGAACTGAAAATTCGAACAATAAGCCAACTTCAGCTTCACTGAAAAGAATTTGCAAATGTTTCCTTTTCAAGGAATTATGACTACAGTAATGATTTTCTCCATACATCACTCAGGGTTTCCCCTCGCTATAATCATTTGTCAAGCTACCTGACATTATTTGGTATAATGATGATTTTTATAAACTGTAGCTACTCAAAAACAGGTAAACTATGTTTAGGGTATTTTGGTCTGTGCTATATCCCTTCATCATGGGTTCTGGTGCTGTCTTGGTTAAAAAATAAGTGGAGTCGAAAAGTCGCTCCATTGACTCCAGCGGCAGTGGTTGAGGCCAGACAATCCAGAGTCAGACATTACAACCTGCCACAATGGCAGATGATATTACACTGTATCATGACATCACAGTCTCAGCCCTATTGAAAAGACAGAGGCAAAACAACTTCAAACTGCTGACTGTTTGGGTATCCAGGTATCCTAGCTGGTGCAAATTTTGCTGAAGTTGTTTCATCAAGTCTAGCTTACGTTTTAATGAGTTACACATCACGAAAAAACCTCAACTAGATTAGCTATTATGTTAGCTAACCAGCAAACTACAGACTAACTGACCATTTCAAGTTGTTTTGCCTCTGTCCTTAAACATCTCAATTACTGCGTATATCTATTCTTCACAATGAAGGTCTTTCTATATAGAAGGGCTCATTTGTAGCCATGTCAAAGCTGCCAGGTTTTACTTTTGTACAATGCAATTCGTCCAGCTAATAATAAGACTAAACTAAACTTCTTCACTAAAGTGTTTGATATGGAGGTGGGTGATATGGCAAAACGTAATATCATGATGCTTCAGGAAGTTTTTACTAAACACAATAAGTCACGATATTTCTTTTTTTCTCACAGGTGAAAAATTACAGCAGATGAAGTAGAGCCACATTTTGAAATATACTACCAAAAACTATGAATCCAATTATTTATATGTAGCATTTCACACATGTTGCACTAAATGCAATTAAACAGGAGTAATGACGCTCTGATTCTAATCAGACATGCACTTGGTAAGCATTTTTAAGCACTGGAGATATCCACGATATGCTTATAAAAGCATATTGTGACGTATTGTGATGCAATTTATCACAATAACGATAAACACTGTCATATTGATTGGTTCTAGATTGATATTAAAGATGTACACAATAAGGAAGTAAAAATGCATTGATTTATGGCGATGTATCGATCTGAAGGTGCCAAATCAGAAATCATTTTAGAATTCCTTATAATAAACACTTAAGTGCTCTTTTCAGCCAAAAATAAAATTCCTCTTAATCAGTGACCAAATAGTGCTTCTTTCAAACTTTCAAAAATTAAAAGAAAATATATACAGAAAGAATTGTTCTCAGTGATGACATTCGACTACTGTGTAAATCAGCACTGCCCAAAATGTGGCCAATGGCTAGCCCATGAGGATGTTACCCTAACCCCACCCCATTACACAATATAAGAATCAAGCATTTTCGTACTGTACGTGCCTTGTTAAATTTTTGTTTTCCATTTAATTTTGTATTTTCAAAGTATTATGTTAACAAAATGTAGCATAATGTTATAATGTAGTAATATATAGTTAAAATGAAACCTGTCTGCACTCATGCATTCAGAATATTTTTTAAATGAAACATCTCAAAGTAAATTAAATCATGGTGAAATTCAGAATCGCTCCCATTTACAGAAACAGTGCACAGTCACATCGCAGTGTTGTTAAAATTCTTCAGCATGGTTCTTCTGCAGTGAGATCACAAAAGTGAACCACTACAAACACAGCATTCATGATTCACTGATTCGTTTACTAAAGAGTCATAACCAAATGAAATTGGTGTCAGTGATTGACACCCTGACTAAACAGTGCAGAGATTCACGTTTGTGTGTGCGTGAGTACACACATAGGAGTCATTCATCATGGAAACAAGTTTTCCCTGCTGTGATCCACTCCCTCACAGCGAGACCAGACTTGAACACAGCAGAGCAAACAGACGTTTCTTTCTTTCTTTTTTTTTTTGCTGAGGAAACTCTTATATGTTGTCTTCCTTCTACAAATAGACACGTATGAACAAGAGCGGGGTACATAATGTGTATGGAAGTTAAGATTCACTTTGTACAGTTCAGCTTGGCCAGACGTGAGTACATTCCTAGTTCAGATACAGGCTTGGTTTATGTGTGTAAATATAGTGTGTGGTTGACTTGTACACACCCTTTGACACACACATCCTCTACAAAACATGATTATGCTGCTAATACACACACATACCAAGCAATATGCAGTGTATTTATGAGGATGTTACAACAATCTCAATAAACCACTGGAATGCAGTGAGGGCAAACCAGTTTTTAGATATCTTTGTTTTTTGTTATTTAAAACACTTCCAGTGCTTATATCCACTTCAAATTTACACACATAATGCCTTTTAACTATACATATGTGTGATTTATAAGCAAGATATTATTGAAGTCAGGACAAAACCTTGTATCTCTCTTTGTATCTTCATAAATTTTGGATTTTCAAATAATTTAAAATGAAGTTTCATGATGAACAAACTTGTTATTTTAACTTGAAATGTAAAAGTTACTTTTTGGTTTTGTTCTCAAAATTGATAGGGGAAAAAAGTTTTCAGACACCACAAATTAATGACATTAGTAGCCATTGTTGGCAATTACAGCTTTGAAACATCTATGGTAAGAAGTAATTAGCTGCAGCCTTGTGCCTCCCATTCCTCTCCTCAAAATGTCTTCAGTTCCCCAAAATTGCAAATGCCCTTCCAATTGCCTCGCAATTTCAAAATCCTCCATAAATTTTCAAAGGGATTTAAGTCAGGATGTTGGCTAGACCAGGGGTCGGCAACCCAAATGTTAAGAAGAGCTATTTTGTCCTTTGAACAAAACCCAAATCACCTTGGGAGCCACAACATTTATGTCAATTTTAACATCTTGGCTGTAAATATGTCTCAGGATGTGCTGATGTACTAGTATAGGCTAAAAAATGTAATATGTGAGGACAATGCAGACTTACTTTGCTCTGCTTTAAGCTTTAGCTTAGCTATAACTGCTTTTCTTGCAGCTCCAGCAGGAAACATCTCCTCAATAGTAGAATAGTTTCCTGTAAAATGTCTCTCAGCATTTGACTTTTTCATGAGGCTAAAGTCAGCTTCTCATTCGCCAAATTTCCCCTTCCACCTTAAATGGTGCCTGAGGCACCAAAATGTAAATGCTGCACCATTTAAGGTGGAACTGGACAATTCGGACAAAAATCTGGCAAATGAGAAGTTGACTTCAGCTTCACACTTTTTGACAGTTTCTCGTTGCAGATTAAATGTTTCAGAAAACCAGCTGAGTGCCTATAAATGCAAAGTCCATTCATCTCCAAATTATCCATGTTCATTTTAAATCTTTCTCTTTGCTTTTTCATTAGCTACTAGCTAGGCGAGACTGTTGTCTGCATTGCTATGTCTGCACGCCAACCTTCAGGGTTAAAGGGTGAATTAGCAGTTATAGGTTACATTATCTCTAGCATTTAAGGCCATTTATTAAAACTGTGGTAGAAATGTGTGTTAGAACGATCGGCCAAGCTTTATTTTACTGCAAAGGAGGATTATTTTTTACTTAAAAAATCTAATCCTACTGTTGAGCTGCAACAGGGCAGTAAAAGAGTCACATGATGCTGAACCCTGGGCTACGCCATGAAAGCAAGCACATTCTTTTTTCTTTAGGAACCTTCTTGAGTTATTTTGGCTGTATGTTCAGGGTCGTGATCTTGTGGAAATGTCCATCTTCTCCCCAGATTCAATTTCTTGGCTGATTAGATTAAATTCTCCTCTAGTATCTCCTGATACATCCTTCATGTTTCTTTAAGTAACGTGTAATGCCCCAGTACAGTCTGCAGAGCAGCAGCCCCATCATGATATGATGTTCTCAGGATCATACCCTTCTTTCTCCAAACATGACGAGTTAAGTTATTGCCAAGGAGCTCTATTTTTGTTTTATCTGATCAGAGTACGTTGTTCCAAAAGAGTTCTGATTTTTTTACCCCTTATTTGGCCATGTTTTATTACACACTTCTATAACCTAAAAATAGCTCAAGTCCCTGTAGTTATGCCTCAGTATGTAATAAGCCTAAGGGGTTAAATGTTTGTGTGCAAATTTTAGGCTCTGTAATCTTTTTTAGACGTGGAGTTTTACACAGGGTGTAGGAATAGAGATAATTGCAGTGCAGTTTATTGCTAATTGTTCTCTGTGTAACTGTTGTTCCTGCTGCTTTCATGTCTTCCTACAAATCTGTTTTGAATGACTTAACAGGCAATGGTGATGTCTTTTATAAAGAATTTGAATAAAACCTATATTTTGCCCTTAAATGGCCAGAGCTCATTAGCCAGTTTACACTGAAGTCCCTGTAGTTACTGAATAAAAAGCCCTAATAGGTAATAGGGCTGGGATTTTAAGTGGTTAATATCTAGAACTCAATTTATCTTTATGTAACATTTATGTATATTTTTAATATAGTTTCTGAATATGTAGAGCTTGTGAATACATACTTTTTGTTCATTTTTGTAAGGACAGTTAAAAGAGTTAAAGGACATTGTGTGTATATGTGTAGTGGATGTACACACCAGGAGTACATAAAGTAACAAGAACAAAAGTGTCTAAAACTAACCTCACAGTTCCTTGTTTCCCCTCACTTGTTTCCCCTCACAGTATGTGGCTGACAGCTTAATACAGATTCGCCGCACCCTTTGACACACTCACCCTCTATAATAACAGTACACAAACATGATTACACTGTTAATACACACACATACACAACAATATGCAGGGTATTTATGAAGATGTTACACTAATCTCACACAATAAACCTAATACTACACATGCACAACAACATGCAGCATTTTGTGAGGAAACTGCGATAATCTCAATAAACCTCTGTGTGGGTGTGTGTGTGGCGGTGAATGGCCGAGATAGCACTTCCTCAACAGCAATTCATCAAAACTAGAGCAAACAAACACTAAAAAGCTATATCCTTGACTTAAACAGCAGCCTTTAGCAGGGACATCAACAGTATTACTATCGTACCTTCAGCAGCATAGCAATAATGCTGCTCTGACATATAGTGCATACTAGGACAAGTCAGGACGACTCAGTGAAAAGCAGGTTTTACACACAGTACTGCCGAAAAGTTTCAAAGCAACATTAACTTCAGTTTGTTTAAGAGACGGTTGATGGTAATATATGTATTATTAAACAGAACAGTGGTGTACAATTAATTGATTCTACATGTTTTTGATGCAATTCTACATTCATCTCATTGAAAAATAATCATTTTAATCCATATTATGTAAAAAACATACAATGTGCATTGCTGTGTGTGTAAGAGTCTATTTAATATATTGATATTTGCAGTGGTCACTCCTGACTGTTAAGAGTTAGGCCTTCAGTTTGGGCCATAAATGTACAAAACTCAGTCAAAAGAGGAGGAAAATGATGCTGTCCCTACAGGACTCTTGCAATTGGCTAGTGCTAAGCTAACAGCACCTCACATTAAGATTTTTTGGCAGTTCAAGACACAGGCTTCTAAAGCTTCTAAAAGTTTTACCTGAAGCTTGTAACAGTCATATTACGACGAACAGTTTTAACAGACAGTGGTTTTCAGAAGTGTTTCTGAACCCATGCAGTGATTTCCTCTACAGAATCATGCTTGTTTTTAATGCAGTGCCGTCTGAGGGCCCAAAGATCACGGCCAGCAAATACTGGTTTTTGGCCTTGTCCCTAGCATACAAAAGATTTCTCTGGATTCTGGAGTCTTTTAGTGCTGTTATGTACTGTAGATGATGAAAAGCAAATGTTCTTTGCTATTTTATGTTGAGAAATGTTGTTCTTGAATTGTTGCACTATTTGATCGTGAAGTCTTTCACAGAGTGGTGAATCTTTACTTCTGAAAGACTCTGGGACGCTTTTTTATACCCACTCATGTTACTGACCTGTTGCATTTTTTTTGGTATTACACAACTTTACCAGCCTTTTGTTGCCCCCGTCCCAAATTTTTTGGAACGTGTTGTTGGCATCAAATTCAAAATGGGCAAATATTTTTCAAAAAACAATAAACTTTCTCAGTGTCAACATCTTATATGTTGTCTTTGTACTTTTTGCAATAAATATAGGGTTTAAATGATTTGCACCTCATTACATTTTATTTTATTTACATTTTGCACAGCATCCCAACTTTTTTGAAAAGGGGACATACTCAGTATACATTCATTTTAAAACAGGAATATCAATTTTACCACCAGTTATTTACTGTTACTAAAAACGTGTATAAACTAATCTTTGTACTTAGACACCCGTGTAAACTTTTATCTTTGCAAATATTTTTACATCCATTTTTCAATTAAACAAACATTGTATGGAATGAAGTGTGACATTTAAGAAAATCTTAGGGTCTTAAGGTATTAAGCATAAAATCATGCTACTATTTAGAATTTTATATAATTAATTAACCTTTTTAATAGTTTGTTTCATCTGCATATATATTTGGGCAGTGGCACCACCTGACATTTTCAGACATCAGACTTTGGGAAATAAAAATACCTAAAATCAATTTTGTTTCGATGCACTGTGTAGTAAAATGTATTAACATACAGGAGGTATTATAGAATGAAGCAATATATGTATATTCTTTAATAGGAAATGAATTGATGTTGACATGTCTTTGAGCCTGATTTCCTTGTTCAGATGCTCCTGATGACCTGATCACTTCATTCAGCAATACATAAAGAATTTAAACTTGCTGAATGTAAAAACTATTATTGACAAATAGTATAAAGACTATTATCACAATATACATTAGAGCAGAGTACAATAGTGCAACATAAAGGAATCCTCTAAGAAAGCTTCTTTGATGTCAATACACGAGCTGTAACTAAACCGATTTGACTGTATAAAAACACTGCTTACTTCCTTACAACACTGTCTTGCAGAACCAGCCCCACTGTGAATTATAAGAGGAATTTACTTGATGCAAATTGCTTCCAACCATGTCATTTAAAACAATTACATCACTTGTACTATTTGGAAAGATTCCTCAAACACTATGTTCTTCTGCGTGTAGCCTTGATCATGGATAAGCCAAGTATTGAACACTTTTGCCAACATTTCTTTTGAGCCCCCAAACCAAAATTACCTTGTTTATTTGCTATTGATCAGTATTGCTACACACTTAGCAGGAGTATATATATATATATATATATAGTGCCAAAAATGTTTACATGACTTGTAACTGTAGCAGAACCACACAAATGATTGTTTGTGATGTCACCGTTCTATATAACTATTGCATTTTCTAAAGAACCCATTAAGAACCAGTATTGCAATAAAGACCAAAGGCACCTGTTATTTATAACACATAACTTGTTGTGTTTGACAATTTTTTGACACGCACCCCATCACTTCATAGAACAACAGAGAACCTGCTTTGCATAACAGAAGTCAGGGGGCAGATGTGTCAGTCAGTGAGTTTTCTGTTCTTTCATTAAGTACAGAGAAAATATAGTTCATGCTAATGGATCATATGCTACAGATGTGGTGGATAGAGATTAGGTTATAATTTAAAATTCATTATTTGCTAACTGCTATGAGTTATTCCATAACTCCTATGTGATATGTAAACTATGTTATGAGAATGGTGAACAGAAGAATGGGGTCTCTTAAAGCTTAAAAAGGAGGGAATGAATATGAGACCCTAGTTCTCACCTGGTCAGTAGTAGCGCTGGGTGAAAGAATGAAGGACAGAAGACTTCTTGTGAGAGAAATGCACGGATAACGAAGGAATGCCGTGTTAGCAGGGTCTCATGCTTCCTCTTCTTGGCGACAGCTGGTGGCTTTCTTATTTCCTCTGGAGTTTCTTCTATATGAGACTTTTTCCTCCTTGAAAAAAGTCTTCTACATTCTGTATTCCTTCATGTCTCTCGTTCCTCTCTCTGTCCTCCGCCCTCCTTTCTGTAGCTGTCAGATTCACTGTGGCACGTTCCAGGAGAGGAGAGGAGGAGTTTCTCTTTCCTTGTCTCCTCCCTCTTTCTTCTTATCTGCCCTTATCTGCTGCCTTCCCACCTTATCTGTGCTCGAGCGTGACTCCACTTGTTGCTTTCACCGTGAGGAACCTCATAGTAAAGATTGCGCACATTTGAACACCGCAAACTCCATTAATCACACACAGGGCAAGTGATTCACCTCCACTCGAGTTCACGTTCCCCTCAAATTTCTCAATCAACATCCTGCCTCAGTGACTGGATCAAACAGGTGGAAAATGTTTAAAAGAGATGTCTATCAACACAAGGCAGAGCTGGTTAATATTGATAAATGCACACACTCACAGACTTGCATTACTACACCTGAGAGGTCTAAGTGGTACTGTGCAAAAGTCAGATACCATCCTTCATTTATTTCATTCCCAGCCATCTTGGACATGATGCATTATTATTCACTTTTCAGGTAGTTATAAACAGCTTGCAGAATATCCTTCCAAATCTGTAGCTGTCAAGAAGCTGTTACTGTTGTAGTTTGTGAGGTGCTTGTAAGGCATAGTCATGAACACACTGTTTGAACTTTTCTCTGATATGTGGCTTCTCTGATGTCATGCTGCTTTTATCTAGCACCATCGATGACTTCACTAACTTACTGTAGCTACTGTTTTTTTAGCAGTGGCAACTGGTGGTCAAGTTTGAGTATTAAGTACTATGACAGGGACAAAATATGCATGAGGGTATGGAACATGTTCTAATACAGTTGTTCTAATAAACTAAAGTCCAGTAGCACAAAGAGGAGTGCATTTTAAAATGTTAGGATTAATAAAAAAAAATGTGTGAAAACTTTCTAAGATTCTCAGTGCTGACATACATATACAGAATATAAGAATGTATTCCACTTTAAGGTCAGTTTAAAGCAAGAATATTTCTGTAATCCATCTTAACACCAACCAGATAAAATCTTTTAGCTGGATGTTAAAGGGGAATTCTGACTTCTTCTACATAACTCAATCATTGAGATGTAAACAAAGTAATACTGGGTGTTTTAATGGGAAATGGTTCATGAAACTAATTGACTGGGATTTCTTTACAGCGGTAGTGCTAAGAACCAGGGTTGTGATATTTATACTGCACATATAGCCATTTTATTTACTGTCAAAAATGACCAGTGAACTACATGTGTCTTCTGGGTTTTATAAAATAGAAAGTGGGAAAATGTTTTATATATTTGTTTTTCTTTCAGCAATTAAAATATACATTTTCCTTGGGTTAGTGCCCCAGTTTTGCCATACAACACCCTGAATATACCCCTGCATCATAAATCAGATTTACAAAAATGATTTAGGCCAAAACTTTAGCACAAAAACACTCTACTAACACAACGTCTCAAGCATCAGGCAGCAGAATACTTGACATTGAGGTTTTTAAAAACTCCAGCAGCACCGCTGTGTCTGATCCACTCAGAGCAGCACAACACACACTAACACACCACCACCACGACAGTGTTACTGCAGTGCTGAGAATGATCCACCACCTAAATAGTACCTGCTCTGTGAGGGTCCATGGGGGTCCTGACCACTGAAGAACAGGGTAAAAGGGGGCTAACAAAGTATGCATATATATATCAGTCGACAACCCAGATGTTAAGAAGAGCCATTTTGTCCTTTACTTTCTAGTAAAATGTCTCTCAACGTTTGACTGTTTTATAAGACTGAGCTTCTTATTCGCCAGCTTCTTGTTCAAATTTTCCCATTCCACCTTAAATTCTGTCTGAGGCGCCAGAATATAAATGCAGCACTATTTAAGGTGAAAGGGGAAAATTCGAAAGAGAAGCTGTCTTCATGTTCGCAACTTTTTAGTGTTTGTCTCTCATTGCAGGTTTAACGTTCCAGGAAACCAACTGCACTGCTTATAATTGCGAATAAGTCCATTCTTCTCCAAACATTCATCTTAAATCTCTCGATATGCCTTTTTGTTAGCTACTACCTAGGCGAGACTGCATTGTTTTGTGACTTGCAGTCTACACGCCAGTTCCCAGTCATTGAGAACCAGCGCAATGTTGTACACTTTGGAGCTGAGATACAACGTCTAGTCTTGAAGATATTTTACTGACACAGCGATCCCCCCACTCTCTACAAAGAGACGAAAACCGAAGTTACAAAAGCAAAAAAATATAAAAGAAAACAGGTGGGACAGCTGTAACGTGCTGCATGGACATCCATTACCACTGCATCTTATGTAATTTTATCACAGATGAGTGGCAGGAAGTGTCTCGTGTGCTCCAAACAAGAGCAGTGAATGAGAGCCTTCCAGTTCACTTGCCACATCACTTCCATTTGTTTTATTAATAAAATATATTGTAAGTAATCGAATCGAATCGTGAGGTGCCTAGAGATTCCCACCCCTAATAAATAACGATGTCAAAACTCACTGTAGTTCCCATGATGCTTTGTACATGCTTAGCCGGTCTGTATTTAATTAAAAAACGGCAAGTAAAGGCTTTCGGTTGCATGTTCAGTATGCATAATACTGTCTACAGGTTATGTGAACTGTTCAGCAGGTAGTGGTTTTGGGAGTGTGAGTCACCAACACCCAGGTTTGTTTCCTGATTAATAACCCCAGGTGAAATTCTGTGGCTGAGCACAGCTGTACTTGAGGGCTAAAAGAGCATATTTTCCTCTTGAAAATGAAAGCAGTTATTCTCTCCTGTACCCTGACTGCTGAGTCAAAATATGCTGTATTCTGGACATGAACTTTGAGTTGTTTAAGGTTCTTCTGCATACCCCCATGTTACAATGGTGTCAGAATTGGTGAAAGAAGCAGCAACAAGGGGACAAACCCAGCGACACTAAAAGGTTCTCGCAACGTTAAGGATCAGTGCCCACAGAGGCAATGGTGATATAGCAAGAGGGCACAGCTGCCATTAAGACAATTTCCCCCACTACCAGGTGATTCGGGTGACTGGGGCTTATGATGCCATGCCAGCTGGATGGGCAGAAGGGTGCAGGAAATGTGCCAACAGTGAGCAAAGGGAGCAGGACGTAGAGTTGGAAGGAGAGTCCCATGCGCCCCTACAGCAGAGGACGGAGGGGGTCAGGGATCACCTGGTCCAGGCATGGTTCTGGCAAAAGTAGAACGATGACCTGCGCCTCAAAGACCGGGAGTTTCAGCTAGGGAACAGAGTCTGAGTGGTTAATCCATGCTGCCAGAAAGGCCACTCTGCCAAGCTGGACAGGCAATGGATGGGATCCTGCCTCATGGTGGTGCACACCAAACCCCCCACCATATAGTGTTACATTGGGACCACCAGGTCCATATTTGGAGGATCAGGAGGGGCACCCTAGTCCTTAGGGCTCTCCAGAGCAATGCCCCCCAGGACCCAACCAACAATACCCAACCACACAAGAACCCCTCCAAACTCCCCATTACTGCCAGAATGCCACCCAACAGCTTCAGAAGCCTCTCATCGCCCACCAGTGACCCAGGAGGACCACAACCCCCTGACGCCCTCTGTGGAGAACCCACAGGTCGAGTCTGTGAGGATGCTCTTGGGCCAGGAGCCTTTGAAGGTGGGGTAATGGACTCCTAGACACTTCAAAGACTATGTCAGGTGAGATTGATATGCATCGGGGCCGCTGCTCTTGAACAAAGTGGGGCAATGTGGCATCAGAGCCTGCTGTGGTTCCCTTAATGTTTTTACATGCTTAATAGCACTGTATTTAGTTAAAAAATAGTAAGTAAAGGTTTTAAGCGTTATATTCAGTATGCATGTTAATGTTTACTCGTTATGTGAACTGTTGAGCAGGTTGGGTAGGTATGTGGTTTTGGGAGTGTGAGTTACTATCACCCAGGTTTGTTTCTTGATTAATAACCCTAGGTGGGATTCTGTGGCTGAGCACATGTATGCTGGATAGCTGAATCAGCAAATATTAAGAGTGATCTTTCTCTTTTGTACTCTTGCTCTTGCTGAGTCAAAATAAAGCTGCATTATGGGTGCAAACTCTGAGTTGTCTAAGCTTCTCTTCTGTAACCCACATTCTACAACATAACACTATTAACACTTCCTTCAGAGAGAACAAACTTAAATAATTCCAAATTATTATTTTTTTTTCTGAGTTTAACTTATTGGTAAAAAGTAAAACATAAAATGGGCCATATTTTTTCCACAGGCAACATTTTACAGGTTTTTTTTTTCACCAATATGCATGATGCAATATATGCTAAAACAGTTATTTTTTTTAAACAGTAGCCCTGTTGGAGAAAACACACTTTATACAGACTAGTCAAATGTAGAGAAGGACAGCAAATATATTATGGACAAGTTTCTATTCTAAATATATTTGTTTTTCTCTGTTTTTTTTTCTTTTTATTAAACAGTGCTTAAGTTGCTCAAACGGACAAGCCACACCTATTTTCTAGCTAATGCTAGCCCTAGTCATTAGCTTTTAAAGACTTGACTGAACTAAGTTACGCTACCTTGTCGTGGCAAACATTTTTGGCTCCATTATTTGTTTTTATTTCAAATGAATAACTGAATATAATTGTTTTTCATGGTTAAATCAAAATTCAATTTGATAAAAAGTCATGTTTTCAACTAGCATGAAAGTACATGTCGAGCATGTTCGGCATGTACTTGTGCACAGACTACTAGTTACTTGCCTTGGCTGATCGACTTTTGTGCTGAACTATTCCTTTAAATACATGTAAATGAGTAAATGTAACTAGGACCAGTAAACGAACACTGTTTTAGTTTTAAGATGCCAATAACAAAACTTCTGCTGTTCTTTTTCCCACACTATCCTAAAAAAGAATATTCTGTCTTTTGTTTTGGCTTATTTAACCAGAGTTAACAGTTGTGCTGTACATATGCTGAGAAGTGTTTTTTTTATATTATACTTATTGTTTCCTTCAACATAACGAACATTCATCACAAATGCATAACATAAGAAGGGAAAGGGGTAAAAAAAGAAACCCATCTTACATACACAAATGTTTATGCTGATTAAAGCTTTACCCACATATAAAAAATGGTACAGTGGATCATACAAATGCTCTCTTTAGAATACTTGAGAGATCTGATGTACACGAGAAAAGGTTTCCAAATATCTTGAAAGACGTTAGTTTTAGAACATAACAGGCATGTCAAGTAGTCTAGAGATATATATTCAAAAACAACTCTGTGCCAACTTGCAAAAGTGGCTATTTTACAG